TCCTCCTCCTCCTCCTCCTCCTCCTCCTCCTCCTCCTCCTCCTCCTCTTCTCCTTCTTCTTCTTCTTTCAGAAAAGAACATGCCACACAGGATACCAACCCAATATTACATAACAAGTTACAATAAGAATAGGCACAAACCCTCATATCAAGACTGGATGAAACAACCCAGTAGCAAAAAAAGGGTCTCCTGAACAGGCAAAAGAATCAGAGACAGCCAGCTCCCATGGTTAGAAGTTCCACAAGAACATCAAGTTACACAAGCATAACATATATCCAATATTTAGATGAGTATTTTATTAAAAGCTACCAAGACAATGATAAATAAAAGTATTGGGAAAAAGGCTGCCTACTTAAGCTGACAAACCCTGCCCACCTTATGGTACACAACAGAATAAAGATGTAACGTTTATAAAGTTTTAATAGTATTAAGTAGGAATTAAGAGTGACTTCCAGGTCTTTCATTCCTGCAGAGAAGTCTACTTGAGCTTCAATTCACTTTGTTTTCTTAGCTTCATACAAAAATAAACAGATAATATGTGCAGGACAGTGAATAAGATACCTGAGGTAACTATAAGCATGTGGTTTTTACACTTGCTCTGTACCATTGCAACACTTCTGAATGCCCAAGAAAACAATTTCTAAGTTGCCATTCTGGTATGGGTTTATAGAACAGAGGCTAGACTTAAACTTGTTCATAGCTTGTCTTCCATGAGACTGAGAGTTTTCAATACTGCCTTACATGTTTTTCTCATTAGTACATATTTTTGAGAATATTCTCTAACTGAAACTGTGTTCCAGCGAAGCAAGTTCTGAGATCTCAAGGGATCTAGGTTGGGAGGTGCCTTAGTTTGAGTTTTACTGCTGTGAACAAACACCATGACCAAGGCAACTCTTTCAAGGACAACATATAATTGGGGATGACTTACTTAAAAAAAAGGCTCCCAGCTTGTTCCCAGACAGCCGCCATTTTCCTGAGGCTCTGGACTGCGGCTTTGGCTATCTAGAAACACCAGCCCTGGCACCCATGAGATGCCAGTGTGGGGAATGGCTCTGGCAATCCCCAATGCTGTCTCCACAAAGTTCGACTGAACCCCAGAAAATACCCGCCATGCCTGTGGTACCTGGTAGAATGAAGACTCTTAAATTTTAAAGGTTATCCAATTGGTTTGTATATTTGGAAATGCTCAATTAACAGGATGCCCACACAATTAGAATTGTAAACCCAATTACCTAACCTTGATATTAATAACTACCTTAGACTGCCAGAGACACTTGGACATCCGCCGCCATCTTCTTTCCTCCTCCTCTCTCCTTGTCTCCTCCTCTCCTTCTCTCCTCCCATCTCCTCACTCTGCCAACCTCTCATACAGCCCAATCGCCGAGCTTTATACAAATGTAGTGGGAAAATATTTTGCTACACGTTATCCTCAACATGGGAGTATGGCAGCCTGCCTGCAGGCATGGTACAGAAGGAGAAGACTGGCTTCTAGGCAGCTAGGATAGGATCTTAAAGCCCACGCCCATAGTGACACACCTACTCAAACAAGGTCACACCTCCTAATGGTGCTACTCTTGGGCCAAGCATATACAAGCCATCACAGGAAGTGACAGCCGGGTCTTACTCTACTAAGTACCTTCAGACTTGTCACAGTTGCAGGCTAAGATTCTAGGCAGATTGTCCTTTGTTGTGGACATTCTGTTTGCAGCAATCTCCTCATTCATATGTTGAAATTTAATCTCCAATGAGGTGAGATTAGAAGAGAGAGCCTTTGGAAATAAAGTTAGTGTTCTTACCACATGGAGCCTAGATAGCTTATTCTCTTTTGGTGGCATGAGATCACAAGAAGGCAACAACCTCCCAGGACCTGACCACAAGGTCACCCTGAGTTCAGACTCCTGGTCTCGTGAGCAATGACACATGCATATATGCTCTTTAAACTATCTACTCTCCACAATTTATTCTAACTGTCTGAACAAAGACGTCTCCAGATGTCAGTCAGGCAGTTGAAGATAATGCCAAGGATCTTTAACTTCCCCAGGGCTTCTGACCTGGTTCAGTATGCTCTGTTCCTGGGCCAGGATGCTCTGGAAGCTGGAGAGGACCTCAGGCAGAAAGTTACAACCATCTCAAATTGCAAAGACAATGATAATATCTGCAATGCTTCTTGTGCTTTGCACCCTCATCCATGGGCTATTTTCTTATCCCTTCATCATGTATGGTATCAAAAGCTCTTTCGTCCACAAACAACTAATAGGTCAGGGTATCTGGAAAGGAAAAAGGTATATGACCAGAAGAGAGTGTTATAGAGATATGTATTTTTTCAAAATTAAACATAGTTTCTAGCTAATATATTTTAATAGTGGGCCATATTAAAAATCAGGATCTAGGATTTATAGTGGAGGTAGAAAGAATAATGTGAAAAAAAATAACAATACTCTTGAGTCCAACAGGTTCCAGTCTATAAAATACCAGCAGAGGAGGGCTGGGGCTATAAAGCCATGGTAGAGAATAGGAGTCATTTAACTACACAGTGACAAATGTTTTCTCATGAATGATGTGATGTCAAGACCGTTTAATGAAGATTTAGATGGGATTTTATTTTAGGAATATATTTTCTGGAGTCTTAAAATGCTGCCCAAGTACTTTGTGTGAAGTGTGCACATGGAGTCAGGCTTCTTTGAGTCTTTCCTAAGAAAAGGGAGAAAGAAATGGTGTTTCATATATATATATATATATATATATATATATATATATATATATATATATAATATGTATACATATTCAGAAGGTGCATACTGTCCTTCTCTTCTTTTTCCCATAGTGATCCTTGTGCTTCAGTTTTAGGCATCTGGGATAACAGGCATGAGCTACCATACAGTCTTGGTCACTTCCTATTGCTGTGTCTCTCCATGATTCTCCATGTTGATCATATCATAAAATGATGTGCTTCTTGCATTGCTTGGACTTTTTGTTTTTGGAAAATGAATCACCGTGAACAGTGAGTGATCCAGTCAAAAAGTATGTAGGTGATGCATAGCCAATAAGCATGGAGAAATTGACTTGACTTGGGAAACAGGTTAGGGATTCTCTCACTCATCTACAGCATTGTATCATGAATACTGTTTTAAAAGTAAGGGAGGTGAAGTTTGATGAACTTGTGTTACTTCAAATTACATTTAAAAACAAGACCAGACTACTCATTGGCTGGTTTTTCTGTTTTCAAATTATGGTCCCAGCAGGATGCCAATGCAGTACAGGAGTTTAAGTCATTATTATCCCAAGTCCAAGTGAGTGAAATTTTAATCTCTCCTTCTAACCACTTTATCTGTAATTAACTTAGTGAAAGGTCCCCGATGACAGGTTCTTCCTCGTGCTATAATTACCTCACTCAGAAGGTTCTCCACGGAATTTGATTTAGCCACTCTCTACAGAAGAGTGCCATGTGCTAATGCCAGGATATTAAATAGGAACACTAGGTGTTTTACCAAGGCATCCCAAAGGTATTATTGGATGAGCTCACATCAGGAATGTTTATACAGCCTTGACTGGTGTGGTCAGGTCCTGGGAAGGATTGTGGTCAAAAGAACACAGGACTGGAACCAAAATGAGCTTCCAAGGAAATTAAATCCTCCTTTACAACTTTCAAGAGTCATGCTTTTAAAAAATCCTTCTTCCTCTTGTTGTCCGCCCCACTGTACACTTTCTGCAGGTGTTCTTCCTGGGCTTTTATTTTCAAATGTCCTTCACCAGGAGAAGCTGTTTATCTAATTTTACCCTCCCACCCCAGGTTCCTATGCTTGTGTTCCTTCCATGCTTCCTGAAGGATTTCCTTTGCATGCTGCTGTAAGAGTCAGTCTGCAAAGAGGGGCATGACTTGGTAGGTGGAAAAGAAGGGAGACAGGCTAGGAGAAGTTAGCACCCCTTTAAAAGATTTTTGTGGCT